AGATAACGACTTCTCGCTAACACGTTGTTTACGCTTTATTTTCTAGAAGTGCTTTGTAAGCACACCAATAGTATAAATAGGCCTTGCGCCCATTTCATGTCGTTCATTACCCGGCTAGGCACCGTAACAGTCACTTATGTAAACTTTATGTTCAATACCCGGTTAGACTCCGCAAATGTCACATTTGTAAACCTTTGTATTTTATATGGACTGAAGGTTCAGTCCTCAAATAAAATTTTTTAAAAAGTTATTTCTAAATCTAATGATTTAAGATGCATGATGGTGCACCAGCGCATTTCAGTGTAGCGGTTCGTAACTATTTACAAACTGTTTATCCAAATCGTTGGATTGGCCGCGGTGGGCCCCAAGAATGGCCACCAAGGTACCCAGACCTCAACAGTTTAGATTGCTTTTTGTGGGGCTATCTTAAGACACTAGTGTACACAAGGCCCATTAACACTGCAGTGATATTAAGAGAAAGAGTAGTTGCAGCTTGTGATAGAATAAAAAACACTCCAGGGATATTTCAACGAGAGCGCAATTCCGTGAGAAGGAGGGCGGAAGCGTGCATACTAAGTGAAGGGGGCCATTTTCAGCAATTTTTGTAATCATTTCGTTGGTTTTAATGTTATGTCTATGTTGTCAGTTGTTGATGTTCATTATCCCTAATGTATTTAATTTTTCCAATTAAATTAATAATAATTTTGCAAGTTAGACAATAGAATGGTTTTTATTTTTTTACTCAAAAATGGCGCATCGAAAGAAAACAACTCAAGATAGATCGTTTGTTATAAATTGGACGGGTAATTCAAAAATAATGTTTATTTGGCCAAAAACCATTATTGGCGTACAACTTTTTTGCTTAAAAAATATCGAAGTCAATACCCGTACGCACGCCACTGTTAAAGCTAAAAATTATTTTTGCATTGAAAAATATGCAACTTTATTGACTTTCACTACGTACTGAATATCAGTGAAATATCTGAAGCGGTTCTGAAAATATTAATTAATTTCCATTTTTTTCCTAAAACTTCAACACACCGAGTTTTTGTAAGGAAACATTTTTGGATCATAGTTTATAAAGCAAACTAACATTAATTTTTCATGTAGATTCACACCCTTAAATATTCGCATATCATTAAGGAACACCCTGTATAAATCTAGATAACAAATATTTTTGGGCGAATAGAGAAAAATAATGAGAATACAGAAAAGTTATTTCAAAGTTCATTATTGTCATATTTAAGGAAAGATTCAGTAAAAATTGATAAAAATCACGATTTAATCGAAAAAAAATAGATTTTTTGATATCCTCAAAAAAATTGTGTTACTTCCAATACTGCTTCAAACTAATGCAAGACGTATGACCTATACTTCACACAGCTTCCACGCTACTGAAGCCGCGGACTTAGGCTGGTAGATACATAAGGCTTATGTAGTTGTATCCAGCACCGTCATGGTGGTTTGCACCGCTATGGGTTAAAGGTGAGGGTTACTTAACTCTAAGTTAGCGGTAACCCCAGATTAAATTCGAGTAGCTTTGCACCGTCAAGGTTTAACTCTGGGTTTATAAACCCCGACTTTTGGTCATTTTGGCAAGCTTAGAATATAAAGTTATTTCTTAGAATCAATACATTTATTGGCAATATTGCCACAAAAGCTAGTTCTGCGCTAAAAGTTTGTTGAATTGTGCTGGGATTTGAAAGATTGACGTAAATTTTGACATTTTATTACTTGCGTTTTGTATTCAGTTTCTTTGCTATTTTTTCGATTATCGTTTGTGTTTGAT